TATGTTGTTGTTGTTGTTTTTGTTTTTGTTGTTGTTGTTGTTGTTCTTGATGATGATGATGATGATGATGATGATGATGATGATGATGATGATGATGATGATGATGATGATGATGATGATGATGCTGTAGTTAGAGCTATTGGTCTTTCTCAGTAGAGTTTATGTTTTGTCCCACTAACCAAAGACCTGCATGTTAGGTGTCCAGGTGTTTCTGCAAAGGACAGATACCTTTATTTTTTACAGTGTTATTTTATATTTCACAGCGTAGATATTTCTGACAGTGCTACATAGTTAAATATTTTACAGTTTAAAGTTTTGTATTTCACAGCATTTTACAGTGTATAGATTTTCTTTACAGTAACTACGTATATAGTAATATATTTTTACAGTTTATAGTTATTTTTTACAGTGTACGTCTGAAGAAAGCCAGTTTACTCAAGGTGAACAGGGTCTGACCTGAACCAGGACTCTGAGCAGGTTTTCCTGGAAACAACAATGACTTCATTTTAAAGTCAAGATCAAAAGAATCAGATTTATTCTTCTAGAACTCAGGAGAACATCTGGTTCCTTCACGGTACTCAGAAATATGTAAAAATTACATTTTCTCTGAAACATAGTGCTGAATGCTAAATGATGTTTAATGCAGCATCTGAAACTACTGTAGCATGGTTAGCTAAAAGTGCACAATGCTAATTAAAAGTAGCACAGTGTATGCTAAGTTTTTTTAATTAGCTGAAGTCATCAAATAGCTATCTAAAAGCAAATGTAGTTTAAAGTAACAAAAGATTAGCTAAAAGCATCAAAAAGCAGGATGAAACTACTGTAGCAAACTTAGCTAAAAGTAGTAAAGCTATCTAAAAATAACAAACATTTAGCTAGACTTTGCAAAGGTAGGCCTACTCTAAATGCATAAAAAAGCAAGCTAAAAACTACTGTAGCATAAGACTAGCTAAAAGTAAAAAATTGTTAGATAAAAGTAGCAAAGGTCCAGATGAAATCAGCAAAAGGCTAGCTAATAGTATAACAAACCTAGTTAAATCAGCAAAAGGCTAGCTAAAAGTATAACAACCCTAGTTAAATCAGCAAAAGGCTAGCTAAAAGTAGAAAAAGTTTGGCTGGAATTTGCAAAAAGCAAGGCAAAAACTACTCTAGCATAAGGCTAACTAAAAGTAACAAAATATTAGCAAAATGTAGCAAAGGTCCAGATTGATTGATTGATTGATTGATTGATTGATTGACTGATTGATTGATTGATTGATTGACTGATTGATTGATTGATTGAT